TAGAACAGCTTCCCCCCAGTAGCTTTTTCAACCTTCTGAAATAAAAAGTTGTCTGCAATGCAGTCCAAGAATTTGTTGGATAGTCTGTGCCCCGCTGTGTTATTTTCCCAACATATATTTGGATAATTGAAGTCCCCCATCACCACCAAATCTTGGGCTTTGGATGATTTTGTTATGTGATTTTGGATGTGGGAAGAATCTAGGAAAATCAGTTTAAAAAAAGTTTGCATAGCAAGTGAGGAATTGAGTAAGCTTTTACTATGCAGCCTTCATTATGTCCCTTTGATCATATTTATTATTGTAGCCTTTAATTACCTGGTCATACATAATTTCTCAAGTTCAGAGTCATTTGTTATCATATGCATGTACTCTACTATATATCTTTACAGTCCATGACATTTTTTTACATGAAAAACACACTGTAATCAATACTTATATGATATACAATAAATGAATCATAAAAATCTAGAGCTGGAAAGGACTTTAGTAAACCATCTAGCCAAGCCTCCCCCATACTGAGATAGGCCATCCCTGAAAGGTGTTTGTCTAACATTTTCTTTAAAACCTTTAATGGCAGGGATTCCACAACATCCCTTAGAAGCCTATTCCAATATTTAACTATCCTTATAGTTGTTTTTCCCTAATATCTAACCTAAATCTCTCTTGCTGCAGATTAAGCCAATTGCTACTTGTCCTACCTTCTGTTCTCCATGTCCATTGTTGATCACTATCCTCTTCATAACAGCTCTGAACATATTTGAAAACTGTTATCAGTTATCAGGTTCTTCCTTCAGTCTTCTTTTCTCAAGACTAGTTTTTTAACCTTTTCTCATAAATCAGATTTTCTAAACTCTTTATCACTTTTGTTGCCCTTCTCTGGACTCTCTCCAGTTTGTCCACCTCTTTCCTAAAGAGTGGTGCACGAAGTTGCACACAGTATTCCAGATGAGGCTTTACCAGTGCCAAGTAGAGTGGGACAGTTACCTCTTATGTCTTTCATAAGACTCTCTGGTTAATATATCGCAGAATGATACTGAACTTTTTTTTGCAACTGAATCATATTTATTTTTTGACTTTTATTCAAATTGTGATCCGCTGTTACCCCCAGATCCATTTGAGTGGTACAACTGCCTAACAAGTTATCCACCATTTTGTATTTGTGCATTTGATATTTTTTCCTAAGTGAAGCACTTTGCATTTGTCTTCACTGAATTTCATCTTGTTGATTTAGGACCAATTCTCCAATTTGTCAGTCATTTTGAATTCTAATCCTGTCCTCCAAAGTGCTTTCAACACCTCCCAGCTTGGTGTCATCTGCAAATTTTTATAAACCTACTCTCTACTCCATTAACCAAGTCATTAATACAGTATTGAATAGTACCAGACAGACCCATGTGGGACCCCACTAGATACATCCCTCCCAGTAACTACTTTGAGTATGGTCTTTCAATCGGTAGTGCTCCCACCTTGTAGTAATTTCATCTAGACAACATTTCCCTAGTTTGCCTATGAGAGTTCATGTTGGGGATTATGTCAAAAGCCTTACTAAAATCAAGATATATCACATCTACTGCTTACCCTTATCCACTAGGCCAGTAACCCCGTCAAAGAAGGAAATTAGGGTGCTTTGGTATGTTTGGCTCTTGACAGATCCATGCAGGCTGTTCCTTATAATCTTATTCTCTAGGTGCTTACAAACTGATTGTTTAATAATTTATTCCAGTATCTTTCCAAGTATTGTGAAGCTAGGCTGACTGGTCTATAACTTGTGGATTCTTTTTGTTCTCCTTCCAAGTGTAGTGTTTGCCCTTCCTCAGTCTTCTGGGACCTCACCTGTCCTCCATGAGTTCTCAATGATAATAGCTAATGGTTCTGAGATTGCTTTAGCTAGTTAGTTCCTTAAATACCCAGGAGTGAATTTCATCAGGGCCTACTGAGTTGAATACATCTAACTTACCTAAATATTCTTTAACATCTTCTTACTGTATTCTGGCTTGTGTTCCTTCCCACTTGTTAATATTGTGTTAAACATCTGGTCACAGTTAACCTTTTTAGTGAAGACTGAAACCAAATAGGTTTAACACCTCAGCCTTCTTGATATTATTCATAATTAGCTCTCCTTCTCTGCTAAATAGTGGACCTACACTTTCCGTCATCTTTTGGTGCCAATATATTATAGAACCTTATCTTGTTGCCTTTTATGTCCCTTGATAGGCATAACTCATTTTGTGCCTTTTCCTTTCTGATTTTGTCCCTATGTGCTTCCGCTATTCTATTTTAGTCATCCTTTATAATTTGTTCATGTTCCTATTTTTTGTAGGAGTCCCTTTCAATTCAATTCAGTCTATACACACAATTCTTATCTTTTTATCTACCACTATTCTGCCTGTTCTCTGTACCACAGTGAACTATACAAAAAGGAGTTTCAACAGTAGAGTTTAGTAGAAGTTCTGTGTACTTTGTTAATCCATACAGTTTGTAATTCACACAAATAATATGGTCTGGTTTAGGCTTTCAGATATAATAGAAAAATTCTGTAGTGACACTCCTTCCTACTATCGTGTTAAAATATTCAGGGTATAGTGTTAAACACTACAGTGGCCAAAATAAAATGAAATTACTTTGTGGTCTATCAGGTGAAGGGGGTTGTTCACTTTACCAATTGACAACAGATAGAATAACTATCAGTAGTGGAAATTAGTGATGTATTACTGTCTTACTGTGGCATATTCCCTTCTATTTTTGTTGCTTGTTACTGTGCATTTGTAAAGAGATGTAAAAATTTGGATGACTATTCCTGATTTTAGTTTCACTGGCACAACACAACAACTAGGCAGCTTGTCTACTGTGAATACTGCTGCTTCTGCTAATCATAATTCTCAGTATTGCTATTCACCTTCATCTGCTTATATCCACTCTGTCTCATGATATACTTTAAATAGTTTCTGCCTCAAAGAGCAGAACTTACCTTTTCATTGGGCGTGTAGTGCCTATTGCAGTGGGAAACTGACTGAGACCTCTAGGCACTTCCACAGTAGAATCTAAACAATAGTTGGATTTATAGTGTCCTGCGTATTGACTGTGCTCTTAGAATTCTTTAGTAAACTTACTGTCTTGCTGTACACTTCTTTCCAGTCATGGATGTATCCGATACTAGACTTACTAGTATTCTTCTGCACTGTACAGGCCAAACATTACTGGTAGCATTTCATGCGCTTTTTTGAGCTTTTTAAACATGAACAAACACTTACTGTGTAGTGTACAGTAAGTGGATTTTGTCAATGGGAATAATTATTGTTGAAATAATAAGTGGCTGCCATTATAGATTAATATTTTTCTTTCATTTCAGTGGTAAGAGATTTCCAGGAATATATAGAACCAGGAGAGGATTTTCCAACTTCTCCACAAAGAAGAAATACATCAATACAGGAAGACAAAGATGACAGTGTGATTTTGCCGTTGGGTGCAGATACGCTAACATGTAACTTAGGCATTCCAGTAGTAGTAGTTTGTACAAAGGTTTGTTTCAAATTTTAGAATTGTTTTTGCATATTTTACTTTAAAAGTGTGCTTTTGGTTATGGGTGGCTGGCAATATTTGGCTCTTCTAAACTGAAGAAAGCACTCAATTATAAATACTTTGGTTTTTCCCTGATAAGAATTTTTTAAAAGCCACTTTTTGTGGAGCATAGGCATTTTTCTCCCTTGAAATGCACTAACACTTTTCTGAATGTTGATGCTAGTAAACAAAGATATCTAGACATGAGGTGCTATTGTTTGTATTCTTTTACTTCAGATACATTCAAAACATAATGGCGCTTCGGGGGGGAGTCAATTTTACTATCTAGAAAGTTGAAATAAGGGTAAAATCATGTAAATGTTCTGAGGCTACTTGGCATAGGATTGCAAATCAAGCATTCTAAAGTCAGGAAGTTCCGAATTTTAGATTTTTCCCAAAGTTTTAGGAATTGGTTTATTTTTATGTCCTCAGGTTAGATGTGGAAGATATAACTAAAAGCAGCCGACAGTACTTGATCACAGGCAGGTCATCAATTTATAAATTAAAAAAATACCTTGTTAACATCTTTATCATCCTAATTCTAGTGAATCTTTTGAAGATTGATTTAATCAAGCAAAATGAGCATAGTAGAACAGAGCAGAAGAACCAAACTTTGCAAATAAACAAAAAACAAATTCTGAGCTATATCAAAATTGTTATCCCCTGAGACTAACAGCTGCACCATGAGCATGAATCAAGCAGTTTTTCACTTTGTGTGTGTGTGTGTGCGCGCGCGCACATGCGTGTGCAGACCAGAAGTTTAATTCTTATTTAATTACTGATTGACTCACTTCTGCTAACAGAAGCAGCTCTGTGATGTGTCTAGGCTTTCCAAAATAAATCTGACATGGCTACAGAAAATGCCACCATCAGCACATCTACAGCCTGATCAGGGTTTCTTTAAAACAAATTACACAAATACAATTCCATCTTTTGGGTAGGATTTTCCCATCTTGCTGAATTTTTTAAAATTGACTTGGCACATGAAAATGAAGCCACTTACATATTTTAATGTACTCTGACCTCCTCCTTATAAATGGAGAGGATTGCAAAAAAATTGAGTTGAGTTCTTTGGTTAGCATTTTAGGTGTGTTTGCATTATATTTCCCAGTTTTTAGGATTCTTCTGATAATCTCTTCTCCCTAACTTTCATAAGTAGTTGGGTAACCCACGTTCTTAGCAAGGTAGATTTGGGTATGGTTCTCTTGGGATCAGTTTCCTTTTGGCCCTTCAATGGCCATGGACATAAGCAAGCTGTATTTTCAGTGTGTCCTAGCTCAGGGAATGAGGGAATAAGCTTGTTGTCATACTATTACTGTCACTTCACCAGTTGGCCAATGCTTTCACTTTTTAGTCAAAACCCTGTTTGTTTCTTGTGGTGTGGTTTTTGTTGTTGCAGAGCTAGATAGGATTTTTGTATGTCTAGGTATTTCGATGGCCCTGATACCACAATAGTTAAACCCACTGCAGGGAGTACCATGTTTTGATTTCAACATAGGTGCAGTCCTCCGCTGTCTGATTCTTAGAGCCCTGCAAATCCGGGGCTATCTGCTTTATATCTGTGGACCGTTTCTGTGAATAGTGCAGACGCAGATACAAATTTTGTATCTGCACAGGGCTCTGACGGTAAGAGCTGGGCACGCAGCTGTGAGGAACCATGTCGCAGACCCTCCACCTGCCCTGGGCTGGGAGCCGTGGGGGGGGGGGGGGAGGGGCAGGGACACAAGCTGGGGGCTGATTAGGCCCCCTGCCTAGGGCAGGTGGGGGGACCCAGGCTCCCCACAGCTGCTAGCACGGCTTTCCCCGACCTAGCTCCGGCCAGGGTGGGTGGCTCTCGTAGTCGCAGCCCGGCCATGGTAAGAGCTGGGCGGGCAGCTGTGGGGAGCCACGGCAGACACTCCAGCTGCCCTGGGCGGGGAGCCCAAGCAGCTCCACAGGTCATCCCCACCCCAGCCAGGCCAGTGTGGAGCCCAGCTGGGGAGCCACAGCGAACCCTCCACCTGCCTGCAGAGAGGGGGAGGGCAGAGCCTGAGAGCAGCCCCTGGCTGTGTCCCTGCCTGGCCAAGGGCAGGTAGAGGGTCCGCGACTCTGTGCGGCCTCCCCACAGCTGCCCTTGCGGCTCTCCCCAACCCAGCTCCAACCCGGGGGAGGGAATGGCTCTTGGAGCTGTAGCCTGGCCCTGGTGTAGAGCCCTGCAGATGTGGATACACGTTTTTGTATCTGTACAGGGCTCTAGTGAGTCTTTCACTGCATCTGAAAAACTTGCAATTCTTACCATTCCATAGCCAGTTGTAACTCCCTGCCTTTAGTGCTGGTTATAATACTGCCTGTGTCAGCTGTAGGTTCAAAAATGTGTTCCTTAATTTGTTCCATTTAGGTCGTTAAATGTCTTGATTTTTTTCTTTTCCCATCTGCTAACTGGAGGAATAACAACGTTGCTATTTTTAAAAGATGCTGAACGTGCAATATTGCTTGTTTGTCTGTTTTTTAACTTGACAGTGTGATGCCATTAGTGTCCTGGAAAAAGAACATGACTACAGAGATGAACACTTTGACTTCATTCAGTCACATATCCGACGGTTTTGTTTACAATGTATCCTTTCAAGTTTGAAATGTGTAATAATGACATATCTGTAATCCTTATAAGATGTGACAAACTTGTGTGACTTGAACACAACTATTCTAGGAACTAGCCTGAGTCCACCACTGAGTGACTGGCTTAACTGAACCGAGGTCCCTAGGGAAGATTCTGTTACGCTAGGCCATGTCAGGTTTAACCTTCTTTATACTGTCAAGTGTTGTGGATTTTGTGTGTGTGTGTGTGTGTGTGGTTTTTTTTAACGGGGGTATCGGGAAGAGACGTCCAGCATACCTTCTTGTCCATGGTTTCCTAGATTTTCCTTCACCAACCTTTTCATAATAAAATGCTGAATAGTTGCCCTAAAACTGAGTTTAAGATTTTCCCTGAAATAGCCTACCAACAGCAAGATAATTCTCACTTCAATTTACATTTGAGTATACTTCAAGTACACTTGATTATAAGGCATGTAATCATTTTGGCCTGACCATTGGACCAGTCTTTTGCAATACTGAATAGTTCTCCAAGACTTTTTAAATATTAAAGATGTAGGAAAAATGCATAACTGTACGTGGAGGTATAAGCTGGCTTTGCCTACCTTAGAGGCATGTGGATATAGAGCTCATGCTCAAGCTGACTATCAGCGTTTTTCTTAAGTTCCCAAAATTGTTCTAACACAAATGGGAACATTACAGTAGAACCTCAGAGTTACAAACTGACCAGTCAACCACACACCTCCTTTGGAACAAGAAGTATGCTATCAGGCAGCAGCAGAGACCTCCTCCCCCTCAAAAAATGTAAATGCAGTACTGTGTTAAATGTAAACTAAAAAAATTAAGGGAAAGCAGTATTTTTCTTATTCATAGTAAAGTTTCAAAGCTGTATTAAGTCAATGTTCAGTTGTAAACTTTTGAAAAAACAACCATACTGTTTTTTTCAGAGTTACGAACAACCTCCATTCCCGAGGTGTTCGTAACTCTGAAGTTCAATTGTACTATACACCATTTTACCCGTAGTCATCTAACCTTGCAAAGAGCAGGTTCAGAGGACATTTAAAATTCCAGCAGCTTGTCCACATTATTTTACCAGCATTGGAGCTGCAGTGAAGGGCGATGTTAAGAAAGGGAGTGTAGACAAGACCATAGAGAAGATAGCATTTGTGGATAAACTATAGTTCAAGAACTTGAGGCACCAGTCAGGATTGGCACAATGCCTGCCCCAAACTGTTTTATAATTTAAGACCCCCATCCTCCAGTTGGGATCTATGCCAGCAGACCAAATTGCAGAATTGACACCCAGTACAATGCAAATGGGTATAACCAAAAAGGTGGGAGGGAGGATATTAAGTGATAGTATACTGTTACTTAAATTAGCTCCTATATGTACAACTTGAGGTTTTTTAAATATAGGATATAAATCTATCTAATAGGTATTAGAAATCCCACTGGATATCTTCCCAGTCATTATGAAAAAGGAAAGTTATAAGTTGAACTACACATACTGAGATGTACCCTTTACCTTTTTTGGAGACATTCAGCTTCTAATATCCAAGTTTCAATTGTTTTAAGTTTGCCAGACCCTCTTAAAGAGTCCCACATACTTCCAATAATATTTCATGGTGCTGTAGAGCACTTCGAAAAGACAAAGCACTGTAAGTGTTAAACATTTTTCTTAATATTTGTTGCATAATTTAAAGACTGATATATAGCTATTTAGAGAAATGTCATAATTAAAAACTTTAAAGACTCTGAAAGAGCAATACCATCTTAGGGTCATATTGGTGTTGGCAGATAGTTGATGTGCCTGAAACTAACTATGCACATCTGTGTTGGCATTATACTCACCCCTTGTAGGGAAACATATACCTTCATTTTATATGGTACAACTCTGCTCCTTTACTTTAAACAGAAATTATAGGAGGATTTAAGAGGTCTTTGGCAATAACTGCAGGTTCGTTTAGTACTTTTGAGATGACCAACTTTGATAGTTTACCATTAATGTTGTGTTAGCATTGTGGGCTTTTCTTTGGGGAGTGGGAAGAGCCTGTTGTTGCTATAAAAGCTTACAACATACAACTGACTCACTGAGTAGAGGTATTTATTTTGCCTGGCTTTTTCGGTCATTAAATGAGTTTATACAATTAAGGTTAGTTTCAAATAGAAATTTTCTTTGAATAGATCCAGCAGTTACAAAGTTCGCTTTTGGAAACAGGGAGCAGTGTTCTAAAAAGATTAGTTGTAAACTTAATTGTTAGCTTGCGCTAATAAAACTCCTGATTTTTCTTTTAACAAATGTGTTCAGATGGTGCAGCACTTATTTACACTTCAGTAAAGGAAAACAAAAATATCGATTTAGTGTATAGATATATTGTCCAGAAATTGTATGGATTTCCTTTCAATGTATCTGCTGCTGTTGTGGAAAAAGATGCAGTATTTATGTAAGTTTCTTTATTATTAAATATTCATGCATGTATACATTTGTATCTACACAGTATAGTGTGTATAAGTAGTAGTGGTTCTATAAAGCTATTTCCATTTTGTTTCAACATTAACATTTACTAAATTTCTGTGTTAAGTGTTACAAATTCACCGTAAGAACAGGTTTGGGTTTTTCTGGATTGTTAGTTAATGGGTTAAGACTGTTGGTGAGCAGTCACTGTTGTTTTGAGAGAGAGGAAGTATCAAGCCAATTTTTTAAGTGGAATGTTCCACCAGGAGAAAATCACTTCTCCAATATGTTACACTGAGCAAAATAAAAATACTTCATACAGCTGACACTGCTAATCACTGACTAGCTGATGTAGAGGAAGGGAGTTATTAAAACTGTTGTTTTGGCTTTCAACAATGGAAATCTTTATCCACAGGTTGATATTGGGTATTAGGGAACAACCAAGTGAGTATTTATTTAAATTTTAAGATCAATGTCTGTATTTGTTTACCTTAAGTCCTGCAGGATGGGATAATGACAAGAAGATAGGAATATTACATGAAAACTTTCAGACACTAAAAGCAGATGACAGTTTTGAAGATATCATAACAAAACCACCTGTCAGAAAGGTAATTTTGATTTCAGTATGTTTCAAAGAAAACCTATTTTGTTAACCTGTAGGAATATAACACACATTGCAACTTGGATTCCATACTTTAGAGCATTTCTCCCTTCCCTTGGTTGGCTACCCCAAGCCTATTAACCACAAGACTTTTGTTTTATTTTCTGGTTACCTTCCTTATGTGAGTTCTCCAGTTTGCTTTTTGCTTCTTCTTGAAAGCCACCAGAAACTAGCTCTCATTACTTACTGTTTATGTTGTTGTTGTTAGTTGCTGTCCAACAGGGAGAGGAAGAAACAGATGGGTGTTGCTATATATAGCACACTACTCCCCTCAATATCTGGCTTATTTTGCTCAATCTGAGCAGGTGCTGGTTCCAACAGCAGCTTTGGAAGAGGCATAAACATCTAACTCAAACTGTTCATGATAGGTTGTATTCTTATGCCTCTACCTTCATGGAGGTGACTTGAACTGCATCTGTAGACAATCCTCTGGGTAGTGGATGTGGTGAAAATGAAGGAACAGCCTTCCAGATAGGATCTATGTCCTAGGTTCTGACATAGTTAAGATAAACTAAGCCTTGTGTATGCAGATTTCTTATTTCTAGCTCTCTAAAAAGAGAATACAGGCCTGCTGTTTGCTCTCCTCAATCATCAGTGTTTCTTCTCCACTACTTAAAGGGTTTATTTATTTCATCCAACAAAGAAATACATTTGTAGATCTTTTTCCACCCCTCTTCTCCCTGTTGCCATTATTCTCTATAGAACTTTCTTCAGAAGAAAGGAAAACTTGATGAAAATTCAGAAACACAACCTAAAGCCCCCCCTACATTTTCATTCTTACAAGAAAGCCTCTTAAAATGTCTAGGATTACCTGGTAAAATAGCTATAAAAAACCCTTACTGTTCTCTTCACCAATAGAAAAAGATACAGGGGGCAAAATCATTTAGCCATTGAGGAGTCTGGAACCAAACTAAATCAGGCTGCGGTGCCCTAGGTGTCAGTTACTGACCTCCTAATCTCAAATTATAAACTCAGTAATGAGTCAGAGTAGCTGGTGTCTTCCCTTCTCCCCAAAAGCATAATCTGTAACGGCAGTCTGCTCCAAATGCTATCGCATCCCTGGCTCATTGATTTAAGATCCACATTATAGAAACACTGAAGATGTAAATAGAAAACTTCTTGATTTAGTTGTTTCTCAGTTAGTGAGACAGTGGGTGAGGTAATATCTTTTATTGGACCAACTCCTGTTGGTGAGAGAGATAAGCTTTTGAACTTATTCAGACCTCTTCATTCCTTACTCTGAAGAAATGTCTACATTGCAATTAAAAACCCCTGGCTGGCGCATGCCAGCTGACTCTGGCTCTCAGGGCTTGGGCTGTGGAGACCTCTGGGCTCTAGGATCCTGCAAGGTAGGAGGATCCCAGAGCTTGGGCTGCAGCCTGAGCAGGAAAGTCTGCACTGCAGGTAAACAGCCCCACAGCCTGAGCCCGGGCCAGCTGCAAGTGTCTAGTTGCAGTGTAGACATACCAAGAGTGTCACAGCTAAATACAAGATGTAATAGATTGTTCTTCTTTCAGTGCTTGTTCATATCAATTCCAATCAAGTGTGCGTCCGTGCGTGCGGTAGCCAGAAGATTTTTCCCCTAGCAGTATCTGTCAGGTCAGTCTGGGCGCCCCCTGGAGTGGCGCCATCATGGCGCTCAATATAGGACCCTACCGACCCACCACCCCCTCAGTTCCTTCTTACCGCCAGTGACAATTAGCTGGAACTTTCACTTGCTCTTGTCATGACAAGCGCATTTGGCAGTCTGTATATAGTTTTCATTAGTTCTGTAGTTAGTGTTAAGTAGTTAGTAGGTACTTTACTTAAGTTTCCTTTGGAGGGGCTTCCCCTCCAGCACTATCCCAGCACTAGGACATGCCTCGGTCTCCTGGCTTCAAAGCCTGTGCGGTCTGCAGCAAGTGTATGCTCAGAAGTGATCCTCACACTTCGTGTTTGAAGTGTTTGGGGGAGAGCCATCAAAAGGATCGCTGTAAGATCTGCAGGGGGTTTTGCCCCAGGACACTGAAAGATGGAGATCAGCACCTGAAGATCCTACTAATGGAAGCAGCACTCTGGCCCCAGTCCGACCCCGGGTTGGTGTACCCGGTGCCAAGTACCTCCTCATCAGTACGCAGTGCCCCAGGCCACACTACTTTGGCCTCACTGCCAGAGATGGTTGTGTTGACTCCTGCCCCCATGGAAGGGCGGTTGAGTCCGGACACTTCTTGCTTGCCAAGGCTGAGCCGACAACTTCACCTCCCATCGACCCCGGAGGCGTTTGAGGCAGCACGGGACCTGCTCCAGCTCATGGCACCGTTCTCCCCACCTAGATGGGAGAGGTTGCCGGCACCGGTCGCTCCCCCAGGACCATCAAGGGGAAAGCCTGTTAATGATAGCCCAGTGGTCTCCATCCCCGGTGCATTGCTCCCTGGCGCCAGAACAGGGTCAGTAGCCTCGTCGATCCCCAAGCCCTCGGCGCAGACTCTGGGCGCCTCAAAGTACTGCTCCTCCGTGGTCCTCCTTTTCTGAGACCTCTGAGTCAGACTCCTATCAATCTCATAGGAGCACAAGTAGACAGTCCAGGTCATCACGAGACCGGCACCCTTACCCGGCACCGTGGCCTGCGCAGTGGCAGCCCCCAGCACAGTGGCCCTTTTGGACTCCCTGGGCCTTTCACCAAGGCCAAGGGCGGAGCCAAGGGTCATGTTCCAGGGCGGCATCGGTGGCCTCAGCCACTTTCATACTGCCTCCAGCATGGTTGGCATCAGCAGGATCGGGGGTAGCTCCATTGCTTCCTCACACCACCATCCCAATCCCTTCTTCTGCCTATGTGGTGCAACACGCCAGGCTCAGACTCCGGCCTCTCCAATCATGGCTAGCCTCGGTGTATTGGCCGGCTTGGGACAGTTTGGATAGGGTCGTGACTCTGCCTCGCCCAGTCCTCGACTCTCTCCAGTGGTGGCTCAACCCACACGTAGTGTGTGCAAGGGTCCCCTTCACCAGTCCTCAGTCGTCCCTCTCGCTAGTGATGGATGCATCAGCCCTTGGGCTGGGGAGCACAACTGGGAGACCTCAGGACACAAGGCCTCTGGTCTCAGGCGGAACTTGCTCTCCGCATCAATGTCAAAGAGCAGTGCATCTGGCATGCCAGACTTTCGAGCCCACTTGACAGGAAGATGTGTATCAGTCATGACAGACAACACCACGGTGATGTTCTATATCAACAAATGGGGGTGCACGCTCCTCTCCCCTGTGCCAGGAAGCTCTCACAGTGTGGGACTTTTTTTAGCTCATTTGATACACCTGCAAGCATCTCCCAGGAGTACAGAACGAGTTGGAGGACCGTCTCAGCAGGCAAGTCTTTTCACAGCTACGAGTGGTCCCTCTGCCTGGATGTCACAAACTCCATCTTCTAACGGTGGGGCTTTCCCCAGATGGATCTGTTCGCCAGGCAACGCAACAAGAAGTGCCAATAATTTTGCTCCTTCCTGAATCACAGACTGGGCGGCATCGCGGACACTTTCCTCCTCCCATGGAGAGGCCATCTTCTCTACACGTTCCCGACCAGCCGTCTTGTTCACAAGGTGCTCCTCAAGATACGGAGGGAAGAGACTTCAGTGATATTAACTCTAGCCTGGGCCCACCAACACTGGTACACATCTCTCCTGGAAATGTCCTTCGAAGCCCCAGTTACCTTGCCGCTCCTCACGGACTTAATCACTCAGGATCACGGCTGTCTCTAGCACCCGAACCTCGAGTTGTTGCACCTCATGGCGTGGAAGCGCCATGGCTGAACCCCATGGAGCTCTCCTGCTTGGACCCGGTTAAACAAGTCCTCCTTGACCGTAGGAAACCCTCCACCAGGGCTACCTACTTTTGCCAAGTGGAAGAGATTCTCATTCTGGTTGGCGCAGCATCACTCATCCCCGACGCTTGCCTCTATACCACTCATACTGGACTACCTTCTCCATCTCAAGCTGCAGGGACTGTCCATGTTGTTGGTAAGAGTTCATTTGGCCGCCATCTTTGCCTTCCATTCAGGTTCAGAGGGCCGGTCAGTGTTTGCCAACCCTGTGGTCATCCGTTTCCTGAAAGGTCTCGACAGGCTATATATGCACGTCCAGCAACCAACCCTGACCTGGGACCTCCATCTGGTGCTTTCCAAATTGATGGGTCCACCCTTTGAACCGCTGGCAATGTGTTCCCTGCTCTACTTTGTCATACAAGGTGGTGTTTCTGGTAGTGATAACCTCAACCCAGAGGGTGTCTGAGCTCAAGGCCCTAACATCAGAGCTCCTTACACCATGTGCTATAAGGACAAGGTTCAGCTCAGGCCACATCCAGCTTTCCTCCCGAAGGTTGTTTCCCAGTTTCACATCAACCAGGACATCTTCCTCCCAGTGTTCCATCCTAAGCCATACTCAAGAGGCAGAGAGCAGAGGCTTCGCTCCTAAGATGTCTGCAGAGCGCTAGCCTTTTACATTGAAAGAACAAAACAATTTAGGAAGTCCATTCAACTGTTTGTGGCCGTGGCAGACAGGATGAAGGGTCTTCCAAACTCCTCCCAGCGAATTTCTTCGTGGATCACGTCATGCATCCGTGAATACTATAACCTGGCAGAGGTGCCTGCCCCTCTGCCCACAGCACACTGCACTAGGGCGCAGGCTTCTTCAGCAGCGTTCCTGGCACAAGTCCCGACCCAGGAAATACGTAGAGCGGCAACGTGGTTCTTCATACGTACTTTCACCGCACATTATGCAATTACTCAGCAGGCTAGAGATGATGTGGCTTTCGGTAGAGCAGTGCTCCAGTCAGTGGACAGCTCAAACCCTGCCTCCTGAATTTAGGCTTGGGAGTCACCTGATTGGAATTGACATGAACAGGCACTCGAAGAAGAAGAAAAGGTTATTCACCTTCTCGTAACTGTTGTTTTTCGAGATATGTGTTAATGTCCATTCCAATACCAACCCACCTACCCCTCTGTCGGAGTAGCCAGCAAGTAGGAACTGAGGGGGTGGCAGGTCGGTAGGGCCCTATACTGAGCACCATGATGGCGCCACTCCAGGGGGTGCCCAGATCGACCCAACGGATACTGCTAAGGAGAAAATCTTCTGGCTGCCATGCACGCGCACACACCTGATTAGAATGGACATGAACAACACATCTCGAAGAACAACAGTTACGCGAAGGTGAGTAACCGGTTTTTTTAGCATAAGTAGTTAACACATTTCTAGGGATCATTCAAAGTAAAATGGCCTGTTAACATCCCTCCGTTACATTTCCTTTGTAGATCTTCACTGGAGTTTGATGCTTTGCTTTGGCAAACGATAGCTGTTAAACCATTAGGATTGCTGCCATACTCAAAGAAACATAAATCTCTTATGCTTAGATTCAGATTCATACTTTAAGGCCAGAAGGGACCATTGTGATCATCATGTCTGACCTCCTGTACACTGCAGGCCACAGAACCTCACCCGCCCACTCCTGTAATAGACTCCTAACATCTGGCTGAGTTACTGGAGTCCTCAAATCACGGTTTAAAGACTTAAAGTTTCAGAGAATCAACCCTTTACTCTACTTTAAACCAGCAAGTGTCCCGTGTCCCATGCCCCATGTTGCAGAGGAAGGCGAACCGTCCCCAGCTCCCAGGTCTCTGTCAATCTGACCTGGGGGAAAATTCCTTCAGTTAGACCCTAAGCTGGTTGGCGAGCCCCACCATGCAGACACCTGAGAAAGAATTCACTGTAGTAATCCAGAACCCTCCCCATTCAGTGTCCCATCTCCAGCGGGAAAAAAAAGATATACGGGTACATCTTTAGTTTCCAAATGGGACCAAACATTATAGGTCAACATTTTCATTATAATATGCCCCCAAAATAGTTTACTAACTCAGAATTTTTTTTCAAAAACAGGCAAATTGAACGGTCCACATACAATGTAATAAAATGAAACGTTAAAACATCTAATTTAGGTAGGCACCTCTTGTGCCTTTTTGCCATTGTGTCAGTGTTTATGAAACTGTGTTAAGAAATCACAGCCTCAAATAATCTCAAATACGTATGTGGTATGCCTGCACCCACTATTTAAGAGGTTGATAAAATTTGTGAAGTTTATTAACCTTTTCCCTCACTCCTCTTTAAATTTCTTTTTGTTCAGTTTTTATGAGCTGTAGCTATAAATGCAGCTGGAAGCCCAGCTACTACATTTAACAGCAAAACTGTGGCAACTTGACTTCTTTCAGACTTAGCTTCTAATTTCTAATAGGAAAATCCAATTAGGAATGTGAAATCAGTTTTAATTTAATATTTTATCAAATTAAAATTGGAAAGGCTTCAGAGATTACTGGATACATCTTTGACTGTGAGCTTCCATTCAGACTTCAGATGGGAGCATTGTATTTAAAAGTGTCTTCCTCTATCACTGCAGCTACAACATTTTAAAGATGCCTATGCTTACATGTAACTTCTGCTCTTTTGGAAAGCCAAATTGCATTGATTTATGAGTTAAATTCAGGATGTACTAACTCTCAGCAAACCTGAGTATTTAAAATGCCTTTATAAATGTCTTATGAATTAAAAAAATCTTAACTTTTCCCTATTTCCTATATTCTGTAGTAGAAACACATGGTTGTAGACAAATTAAGGAATTAAACAAGAAGATAAATCTATATTGGATGTGCAACATATACAGCAAACTTTCTGTGCTTAGTACATTTTATAAATACCTCTGTCTCAATTGTTCAAGGAGATGCCATAAGCAAAGGACAAATAAGGGGAGAGGGGAACTGAAGACCAGTACTTCTACCTCTCACCTAATGAAGCTGATATTTTAGGATTATGCTGCGACTTCCCACTGCATGAGCCTCTTACAAATACTTAATGGGAAGAGTGACACTATAATCTGCACCATCCTGGAGAAGCCAAGATGTAGTAGTAGTGTAATATACCAGGTGCTCAAAAAAATAATTCACCTGTTTCTACATGTATATAGACTTCAGGCCTGATTCTCAGTAAAAATTTTATTTGCTTTAAGGCACCTTTTGCCTGCCGGAGGATTTGTTGTGAGGAAGGGTGATCTTGTGATTGAGGCATAGAACTGGGACTCAGGATTTCTGGGTTCAGTTTCCAGCTCTACTATCTATGTCATGTGATCTTGAGGTCACATCTGTTTTGTTTTCCCTCTGTAAAACAGATATTTTCCTAGATCACAAGGTGGTTGTGAGGATAAATTTGTTGTTTCTGAGGCTCTCGGAAGGTGAGGAAGGTAAAGTGTGGTGGTATATCTGTACCTAGATAGTCCCCAGACATACTGTGAGGTTCTTCAGGCTAAATTAAATTTTCAAGATCTTTGAACAGTCTGAGAACTACATCGCTTGATGATCGTGCCCTGTAAACCGAACACTTTTGTGCTAAGTATGTAACAATGCCTTCCATAGAGCATGTCTAAACTATGTTGTAATTAAAATGTTAATGAAATAAAACACTTAAACAATGTCTCTTGCTTTAAAAGTAAATGCTGAGGTAAAGACATTCAGCTAGCAGCATGTGAAGATAGTTACCTTATGGTCGCTCGCATCGTGTTAACAATTAGAAAATGTGTAAAGCACCAGAACAGCTTTAGGTTGAAGACCATGTTGTCTTGAGTCCATTTCATGCATTTTTTGTGCCTCTTCATATTAATCTGTAAATAGAAAAAGACAACTTCTAGTTTTTAAACATCAGTCACAACCATATTGAAATGTTTTTTTTATATTGCAGTTTGTGCATGAAAAAGAAATAGTAGCAGAAGATGATCAAGTGTTTCTTATGAAGCAGCAGGTAGTTTCTTTGCATTTGTATGTTAGACAATTAATTTCATTTAAACATGTGGTGTTCAATTAAATTTATTTTTGAGCTTGTTACAGTAAATGCAAATAGTAATGTCTAAAATATTTTGTTTTCCAGTCTCTATTAGCGAAACAGCCACCTACTGCAGCTGGAAGGCCAGTGGTTAGTAACAAAGATTTTAAATACTAAAACTGAAAATTGCGCATTCTTCGGTTTTGATTAATACAATAGCATGTTTGGGTGAGAAGATTGCTGACTTCTAAGAGCACTTCTGATCTACAAGCTTTTTCTTAATGCCTTTCTAGAGTTTTCTTATTGCTGTAAAAGTACTTAAGCCCAGAATGAAATTGAACTCACAAGTGTGAACACTTGTAGATACATGTGTATACCTACATTTTAGATGAATTTCTGGAACTAGTATATAAAATGCTCAGCAATGTAACTCTTGTTACTTGTTTAAATTCAAATTTAGAAAAAAATATAAGACCACTCCTCTAACTTTTTTTCAAGTGACAAGCAACTACTCAGTAATATGACCTATTAAGTTGCTTTTGTGAGGCAATGAAAGTAATAAAAGTTTTCCACGCAGTTTGCTTTTAATAAAAATTCTTCTTTCTACCATATTTGCCAAAACTTGCCTTCATACTAAGAAGAGCTTAGTGTAGCTTCTCCATGAACTAGTGAATGCAGTTTCCCAAACAACCAGAGCTTTAGTACTCTCTCGTCAGGGTGAAATACCCCCCCTCTGCAGTGCCTCCAGTTGTTGGACTGCAGTTCTTAGTTGCAATACTATTGGTTTTTTTCCTGTTAACTTTTAAGTGCTTTGCTAATGCATGATACATACTCCTGTAAAAATGTGTATCTCACAGCATTTCATGATTTCTCATTTAAAACGGATTAATTTTTTGCAACAAGTATTCCATTGAATTACATGATCAGTATTAAATGTACCTTTTTTTAAAAAAGTGGAAAAAATAGCAAAATGTAATTGAATAGTTCTGCTTGTATAGATTAATAGATTACATAGTTTATTTCTGGAAGTTGAGTACACAAAATAGTTTGAATATTCAATCTTCTACTTTTGTGTAGGATGCCTCGCCAAGAGTTCCTGGAGGCTCCCCTAGGACGCCAAACAGATCAGTAACATCCAACGTGGCCAGTGTCACACCCATCCCTACTGGCTCAAAAAAAATTGATCCTAATATGAAAGGTATATTTCTTGTGCAGGGGAAATGTGGGAATAAATGAGCTATTCTTGACTGCTTACTTGAAATACTTTTGTATTTGTTTATACTGACCTAATATGTGTAAGAGACAAGGTGGGTGAGGTAATATCTTTTGTTGGGCCAACTTCTGTTGCTGGAAGGGACAAGCTTTTGAGCCTAAGGGTACGTCTACACTACCCGCCGGATCGGCGGGTAGTGATCGATCTATCGGGGATCGATTTATCACGTCTAGTGTAGACCAGGCCTCAGAGAGCTCTTCTTTAGGTCTGGAGAAGGAAACCAGAGTGTTCAAGCTAAATATAAGGTGGGACAGATGAAGCATAAAGGGGTCACCAAAGTTGACTTGGGCCATTAACACCGCTGAAGTTGTAGGACAATGGAGGGTTAGTAGGCAGCAGGATGTGTTACAACTATTGTAGTGGGCCATAAAACCAGTGTCTCTAAGTCCTTGGTTTTTAGTGTCCAGGAGATTAATGAATTTAAGTTCCCAGGCCCATCTTTTGAAGGTGTTGTGCAGGTTCCTTTGAGGACAAGAAATGAGAACTCGGATATGGGGAGATCATTTCATGAAAAGTGTTTGCTCATGGGTAGTAGAGTGTTTTTTGTCTTATTACTTTTCTGTGTGAATTCATTTGAAAGCGTAGCGGTTGTCTGGTTTCACCCATGTAGTTGTGGTGTACCTTATCAAGGGCATCAAATGCTCCAGTATGTTGACAGGCATGTGTAGAAGCGGTGGATCTTGAAAGGTCTGGTGTTGAAGGGAATATTGATCATTGTAGTAGTGGAGATATGGCTGCAGGTTTTGCATCTGTTGTTTTAGCAGTCTCTGATGCTGCTTTCAGTTGGTGTCCTTGTCTTGCTTCTGGTGAGCTTAGCGAGGTTGGGGAGTTATCTGAAGGCCAGAAGTGAGGGTTGGGAAATATTTCTTTCAGACTGTGGTCCCCATCAAGTATAGCTTTTAATTGCTGTATGATATCCCACAGGGCGTGGGTTCTATTGTGGGATGATAAGTGACAATTAGGGGTATTCAGTCAGTGGGCTTGTTTTCCTGCATTGAAGCAGGTTCTCCTGGGGTATTTGTGTGGCCCGTTCCATGATGCAAACTACTTTTCTCTAGTGGCGTATCCTTGTGTGGTGAAGGTAAGTGCATTAAAATGTGAATCCTAGATCTTCTCTTCAGAGCATATTGTTTGGTATCTAAGTGCCTGGCTGTAGATACCAGATTTCTGGGTGTGTCTAAGCTGGTTGCTGGATTTGCATGGGCAAATGTGGTGGTCTGTGTATATGTTGTATATAGTTGTCTGTAGGAATCCATTGTTGAAGCTGATTGTGGTGTCCAGGAAGTTGACGCTGGTGTGGGGATGTCCTAGAGAGAGTTTGATGGATGGGTGATGGTTGCTGAAGTAATGGTGGAAATCTTTGAGGGAATTTTTTGGTCATCTGTCCAGAGGATGAAAATATCATTGTATATTGTTTTATGATGATTTTTTTACAGAAATTTTCCTCGAGGTGGTCCATGAGGAGGTTGGAATACTGGGGAGGCATTTTAGTACGCATGGCTGTTTACATGGTTTGGACAAAGTGTTGTTGAATATAAAGTTATGATGGGTGAGGATAAAAATGAGATTGTCAATGTGTTTGGGATGGATTTCTGGACTTTGTCCATTGTCTTATAGATATTTGAGACAGGCTGCAAGCAATCTATCTCCTCTCGTGTTTAGCTTGAATGCTTTTGGTTTCCTTCTCCAAACCTGAAGAAGAGCTCAGTGAAGCTTGAAACCTTGTACCTTCCACCAACAGAAGTTGGTTCAATAAAAGATATTATCTCACCCACCTTTGTCTTTCTCATATCCTGGGATAAACCCAGTACTACAACACTGCAAACAACTGTGTAGTCAGCATTTATTTGGAAAATGTTGTTTTTCATATATGAAATACCTTTCTACTTTTTTGATGTAGCTGGAGCCACAAGCGAAGGTGTCCTAGCTAACTTCTTCAACAGTTTGCTGAGTAAAAAAACCGGTTCCCCAGGCGGTCCTGGCGTTGGCGGTGGCAGCCCTGGAGGAGGGGGCAGTGGAGGTGGTGGCAGCAATTTACCACCATCAGCAAAAAAGTCAGGTATGATTAATCATAAAGCATCATTGGAAATTTCATTTGTGCGAGGAATATCTTTAATCTAACATGCAATATTTGTTAAAATGCAGTTAGAAATGTGGCAAGATAAGTAATACAGCATTATCCATGGCTCAATGATATAGTAAAATCTGAGAGGCTGACAATGGTAAGCCAAGATGAGATCATAGTAGATCTTAATTGGGAGGGTGTTATGGGTGTATTGTGAGCCTCTGAGCTTTTTTGGGGGGAAATCATATTGTATTAATATCTAACTGAAATTTATGAATAATATCCTGTTCCCTATCTCTTAGCCCTCAGTACTGTGCAGCTCTGAGGTTTTTAATCTTCCTTCTATCTGCTGCTTTCCAAAATTTGTGTGCTAGAATCAGAGCGTTTGTGGGGAGAACAAATACAGACCCAGAGACTCGCTTGCATTCCTGCAGGGGAATAATGAGGATAAGTAATATGAATGTCTATCTATTGAGTCCTCTCTTTTGTTCCTCATCACCTGGATTTCTCCCTTCTATTAGGGAAGGTGAAGAGAGCAAAAAAGGCCCTTCTGGGTAATGGCTGCATGAGCCTGTGTTGTTAGAAAATAAAGGAAGCATGCTAGCTATATTCATCCCCACTTAGCATGCCCAGGGCTGCCCAGAGGGGGGCACAAATGGGGCAATTTGCCCTGGGCCCGCAGAGGCCCCCACAAGAATATAGTATTCTATAATATTGCAACTTTTTTTATGGAAGGGGCCCCCAAAATTGCTTTGCCCCAGGCCCCCTGAATCCTCTGGGTGGCCCTGAGCATGCCTGTAACACACCTAGCAGGCACACACAAGTGCTCCCGGTGGTGTTAAACAGGCTCTTACTACTGCATTTTCATTCTTTTCACACACCTGTTGTCCTTTAAGATTCTAAGCTTTTTGGAGCATGGGCTCTTTTTATGTTTGTACAGCACTTAACACAATGGAGTTCCACCTGCTTGGAACTTCTAGGTACCACTGTAATAGTCCTACTCTTCCCGTTCTCAGAATGCTAGGATTTTCAAAAACTCTGAGCTTCATGTACTTTGCCTGGCCACCATGTGAACCTGCCTCGAAGATCCATTAAGGCCTGCATCACAACTGAAAATGCTCTTTCCTGGGCTGATTTCAGAGAATATAGGGAGAAAATTCAGAATGGGCACAGAGATTTCATCAATAGCTTCTGCATAGTTTGGGAATCCTAGTTGTTTAAATCCCTCAGTGATCACTGAACATTGGCTACCTAGATCACACAACCCTCACTACGAAGTATTGTAGTGCAAATCTACATGACATCATGGTCTTCCTGACTTCAGTCTGGGGCCATATTGATCAGGAATTATCTGGTGTAGCCAGCTTCCCTAGGGATGCTTTCTCTTCCATGGAGTGATACTTTTGTCCTCGTTAAGGTGAGCACATCATAGAGTTACAGAAATTTTTCCTCCGTCTTAAGTTATTGGCTCTTAAGTTACAGAGCGACAGAGACATGCTGATCCTACCTCTAACTATCATACTTGTCTGATAATAGTACAGACCCCAAAGTGTTGCTTCTACTGGAATACATCTTAAAGAACTACACAGAGCCAGAATCTTCGGGGTGGGAGGTACGTGATGGTTACAGCATAAATTGTCAGCTGTTGGTCTTATACTCTGGCCCTCAGCAGATATGCCAGAACATCTTCCATCTAATCACTGCAGCTGCCTCATGACTACTTTAGAAAAGCTGCAGCAGAAACCTTTATTGCTGAATACAGAATGAGAGCCTAGCAAAACCTGTCAATAGGAGGATTGCCACACTGACTTCAATTCTACTGTATGCATATGCAATTCTGCCATCTTATCCATATGCATTACAATACAACTTTGTGATACCCACTTCGGGAGGGTGGATGGGAATTCAGAGTCATCAACCCAATCAAGAAGAACTGGTGAATAGAGGCACAAAGGATCTCCAGCCTGTATTTGAAGACGGGGGCAGTATCCATGTGGGGGGTGTATTCTGATTCATATGCAAAGACTGGTCATAGGCTTCTTTTGGGGAGGAAATTTCACAGATCTTTAATAGCTGAAAAGGTCTGGTCTGCTTTTTAAGCTCATTCGACTAAGACCTATTATGGATCTGTGGTCCTTGAAATAAGAATTTTCATGTAAACGTAGATAAAATAATCCTATTTCCCCCATGCCTATGTCGAGGGAGATAAGGTGATTGGGAATGTGAAGAGAGTTTGTTTTTTCTGTTGGTAAATTGTACAGTCAGTTACTTGAGAGCACTTTGGTTCATTATGAAATATATTCAAGAGATCAAATCAATATCGGTCAAGTTCATTATTTTCTAATGCTAAAGTTGATTTCAGCTTTGCAAAGTGTTAAAGGGTACTTAGAATAAGTGAATAGGTGTATAGAAAGACATAGGCCAATTCTGGCCATATAACTGTTTGAAATATAAATCAGTGTATTGTTGTGTGCTTAATACATATTAATATGTGGTGTGAATAATATATACTGATAATGTGAGCCCAACCTTTATTGGTCAATACCTTCTAGAAATTTTAGGAGATGAAATGTGTATCATTTTATGTTAGGATTTCATAGGATTTGCTTTCCACATACAGTGCAAGACTTTGAGAGAACTATTGTAAAAATGGCTTGTTAGCCAAACAGTAGGGTAACCCACACGTCTAAAATTGCTACAAACTAAATATGTTCTCCGTTTTACTATATCTTTACTCTAGTGTATCTGCAGTTTGTAAATGTGACATTGCATGAAACAACTTATTTAGTATTGTATTTAAAGCAGGAAAACTTAACTCTTTTTTTAATGGATGTTCTTAAGAAATAACATAGTTGTGGGAAAACAAGTCCTTTCATTTTCAAGCATGACCAAGTGTTGTGCGTCTTTTTTTTTTTTTTGGTACAGGCCAGAAGCCAGTCTTGACTGATGTTCAGGCAGAATTGGATAGAATTTCACGAAAACCTGAAATGGTCTCTCCCACAACACCTACATCCCCCACAGAAGGTGAAGCATCTTGAAGACACCAAATAAAGCAATTTATTTAGTTTTCTGGGATAATTTAAACTTGCCTCTGCCTCTTCCTTCAGTGACTGGAACTAGACAGCTGAAACACTTTCTCAGAGAAGGACAAACAGTTGATGTCTTGATTTCATGTGTTGCCCAGCTTTACAAAAGGGAGCTAATACAGATGGAAAACTATACCACACCATATAGGACTACTGTTCACGGTGCAACTTAAAGAATTAACTAATTCCTGGATTTTGTTGAAAAGTTGGTGTAATTGTGTAAAATGGCACATATGTCCACTTAATCATATAATGTTAAAGGCTGCTTAAAGAGTTGGAAAATGATATGTAGCATGGGCACTTAATGTATATTGATCTCCCAACCTATTACAGTTTAATTTAATACAGGTTAAACTTTGAGGCATAGAACTACTAGTTTTGCTGGAAGAGAAGATAATCATTTGTTATAATTTTGTGCACCAACAATAAACTAACCTGACCAAAATTCAGCACTTCATGTGGAATATGACAGCAAACCTGTCTGATCTCATTTGAGATTTTATACTGCATCAAAAACTTGGGCTAAACTTTCATTCCAGCATAAGACCTTAAAATATTGGCCAATTTGATAACTTCAGACACTGAATAAACTATTTGTGTAAAGAAAAAAGCAGGGGTTAACTTAATAAAAAAATGTACAGATTATCAGTATCCAGATTTTTTTCTGTATATATGGTCAGCCTTAACATCTTCTCCCCCCCCCTTTTTGTTTCCTAAATTAGTTATGGTTTTAAATCAGACATTAAAACTGTGATCAGTTAATAAAGTATTATCTGCATTCCGATATAAATAAATTCATTGCATTTTCTTGTATTACAATGTATATTAACTAATCAAAATATTTAGTGTTTCACTCTTGAAGACTAGGTACTTTAAACGTCCCTCCCTCTAATCTTTCACCCTTCTGTGAATAATAGTATGGCCCAGCTTTAAGCTTCCCTAAAACGTGATAGTTCTGGAAGAAACAGATATGAGTCTGCTACTCATACAATACAGCAGTGTACTAATGTTCCTACGTGCAAAACTTCCATCATCAGATTTCGGGGATTTAGTCTTTAGTTTAAAAGCCCACTAGATATACTAAGCATCCTACTGATGATTTTTCAGTGCACTCTGTGGAATCATGTGTCAAAAGTTAGCATTTGATTGGTTATTTCAGCTTTCAGTACACAGTATTTGAGAAACACTTGAGATCATAAACAATGTGAGAAATCTCCCATTGAAGCGCATGGTATACTGAGATTAGAACAACTTTCAAAGATTATCCTGAGTATTTTTATTAATACTTATTAAATAGGTGTACAATTTTTTTACTACAACAGTGGGTATAATGTACACAATTTCCCTAATTTACTAATTGGAAATCTGCTAAAAAGTGTTATGGATATTAATGTTTTCTCCTAATTTTTATTCTGGGTATGGTATTATACTTGATATTGCTGTTTAAGTTCCTACTTTTGATACAGATTTTTTTTTCTGATTCCCAAAAAATTCATTTTCTTGAGACTAACATATTAGAATGTTTTGCTTTGTTAGCTTTGATTTTTTTGCTTGCTCTTCAGGGAACTTTTTAAAATATTGGCTGCTTATCAATGCTAAAAATCTGAGACTAGCTGTCTTATCTAAACAAATCTATTGAATTATTTTAAACATGGGATCTCATTTGAATAATCTGATCAGGAATAAAGCTAAAGTACAATAGTGGTAAAATGTTGCCCTTGCAACCAATAATAATGGTCCAGCTCTCCTGACCAAATATGTGAACTGCTGAGGAGTAACTGTATAGAATATATACATGAAGAAGGAAATGGTTTCTAATCACAGATGCATTGCTGTTCCTTGAACAATTCACTACTGTGCTTACACATGTACAGTAATTTTTTTAACATAGTAATTTAAAATGTGCATGACAGCTCTTATCCTGCTGATGAGATCACCAGTGTGTTTCCTATCTAAATTCTAGTGGTACACCATACTATCATTAAAAGGCAGAAACTTAAGATTTTAGCATGTTTAAATTGCAAAACTATTTTGCACTGTTTTAGTTTTTGCAAGGAAGACACTTTTGGTTTCTAAACTCTTCAGTTCTGTTCATTTGATCATATCTGATATCAAAGTAAAGGCCCTTTGTGAAGTTGGACAAATGTCTCAAAAGAGTTCAATAAACATCCATTACACAGTTTATTTTTGGGCTTTATTTTAGAAAAAAATTATAGTGGAGTTTCAATACTAAAGTGCATGAAAACATAAAACCTCATTTCTGCATATTTGAAGCTTTTGAAATATACTCATTGAAGGATTCCTTAGCCTCCCTTTATCAAGGACAAATCTGCTACAAAAGAAAAGGCAGTAGAAAGATGTGTGTGCTGTGCCCTCATGTTTTAGAGAAAATAAAGACCGTGTTCCGTGGAAAAATGCATCAAAAATCTATTGCAAACAAGCAGTTTAAACACTTGGTGTTTTAAAGTGGCTGTTGCCAAATCACTGAACTGTATCTGTTGTACAATACCCATCTGTTTAAACATACAATAAAATCATGACAAAACTCCTGTAACTAAAAACAAAATAAAGCAGCTATAACAAAAAAGAAAGGTGACTGGAGGCTATTGTCCTCTAACTGGGATTAAACACTGTCAATGGCCACTCAGAGTAATCTATTTTATCATTCTATTAATGGGAGTAGAATGTCTCATCGAGTCTAATTTCCTCTTGCTATTTCAGCTGTCAAAAAGGTCCATGTTGATCTTAACCAAACCATATTTTTTCTGGAATAGTTTTAATATGAATTTACAAACCTGTCACCTCAATTAATAATATTGGTACACAAACAACAAACCCATCAACTCTAAGGCAGAGATCAAAACATATTGGGGGAGGAGAATGGAGAAAACTATGGGGGAGGGAACTATACATTGTAGACCTGTAATAAAATTATTTCCAATTTGTCTATAATAAATGGGGAAACTGATCTAATACAGGAGAAAGTCAACTAAACATGAGAGTGAATGAATAAAGCCATTATTTATATAATGCTACAACACAATCCCAACCCTGAAAAGTCTCCAGTCCAGCAGACAATTATATGTACTAGGTAAAGAAAGATGTGGCGAGAGTATAGGTTGAGGACTAGACCCTTTGAAGGATTCATAGGAAAAAGTGGATCTTTAGTGTAAGGGAGAAAATTTAGAAAGTTTTAAATAGCACTTTTAAAAAATGTACTTTTCCATTGCTCTAAGCACAGTACAAGCATTTATAAATGTATACCATAAACTCTATCAATCAAATTCCTCCTAGGAATATTACTGCAGTAACAGGCAAATGGACTAGCTAGTGCATCAATGTTTTTCTGAAAGTCTCACAAGCTGCTTGTAAATTCTGGGAATCAGCTAAAGGGTCACTTTATTTCCAAGCAACACTTACCCGACAGATATCCTAGATCTTCCTAAGGAGGGCTTTGGAGCCAAGCTATGGTTCAGAGACAGCTCCTAATTTTGCTTGTGGATGACCTCTGAGCCACAGGCAAGTATCCGTATTAATTCTTACTCCACTGTTCTTTTGAGTACGTCCCTATGGGTGCTCTCACAAAATACTGTATGTGCATGTGCCAATGCATGCTAAAGCAGAGACTGAAAAGTAATATCCACGGCCTGTGCCTGCACAGAGCAATGCCTTATTCTCTGAATAAGGGGATAAAGGAAGGCCCAAGCTTGCCACCGCTTATTCCTTCTCAACCACGGATGGCTCGAGACAACATCTTCTGCTGTTAGCTATATTCAGCTTCCTCCTTTCACCTCATGAAAGCCTTTATCTATTTTGTTGTTTATTTTGCTGTATTTAGTTTAGCATGATTGTGCTCCTGAGGCTTGGTGGCTCCTATTCTTGGACCTTTATTAGTGCTGGAGCACAATCTGTTATGCCTAAAACCTCAGGATTTAATCTCTGCTAGACTTGCCACAAGTCTTTTCCCTACAGTGATGGGCACTCTAATTGCCTGCACTGTTTGGGAGACTCTCATCCCCTCAAGGTGAAAAGTCTGTCAGAGGGTCAAAGGCAGGTCCAAAAAAGACCAGCAGACTAAACTAAAACTCCTATTTAATTAAATGTGCTCGTGTTCCAGAAGGGTCTACTTCCTCCCCCCTCACCCATGTATGTTGGCTTCAGTGTTGCAGGCCTCTTTGGTCACTGTTTCAGCTTTGTCTGTGGCCACTGAGACAGACTTTAAAGAAAAAGTACATCTCCCAAACCTGAGAAATGAAGAAAAGGCATAGGTCAATCCATAAGACTCACTCAGGAGAATTAGTGCTCCAACTGAGTCTATAGTACAGGTGTTGGTACCATGTAAGAAGCCCCATATGAACAAGCCCTCTGTCACCAGAGCCATCTATCTCACCAGAACCATCTGATCCCTCTCTGCACTGTGGTACACACAGGCTACCATGTGCCTCAGAACTGGTCTCTTCCCTCCTCTCTGAAGTGAGACAAGACACTGCAGCAGTCGCCATCCCACCAGTCAACATTTCCACTTCCAGTACTGACCCAAGCCTCAACCTGAGGCTACCAAAACCCTCTGCTGCCTGCTAGATTCCTGTTTTTAGAGGATCTTATTTCTGATTAGCCTGAGTCTCCACAGTTACAGAGATCTATCAGAGCACCCTCACCAGTACCATCCAGACAGTTACAAGTTAAAACTTACCTAAGTCTTTAATCTTTGGTACTGACTATGATACCTGAGCGCCCCTCTTCCTCCTCCCCCCAGCTTAGCTCAGGAGATGATGGATCAGACTCGAAGATTTTTGTACACAAATCCATCCTGGTACTGTACCACCAAACTCCCATGAGTCCTTCAAATGAGGACTCTAGGGGACCTACCAAACATTGTAGGCCCAGATAGTATGACCTTTCCCCTATTTTCCTCAGTGGGATTACTGGGACCCTTGGGGCCATCTCAGTGATCAGTTCTACAGGATAAGAAAGGACCACCAGCACCACCTGGTACTGTACCATTCATGGATACCAACTGACCATCTCCCATTACTGCACACTTCTTCGGTACCAGATGATACACAAGAGAAACAAGAACTTCAGCCCAAGGAGATCTTACATCCTTCAGTCAGGTCCTCTTCATCCCCGGAAAAGGGTGTAACGCCACCAGTGCCCTCCTGTGCTGATAATTTCAAGACACAACTCTCTTTGGTGGATATTTTGAATATCAATCCACAAGGGAAGATTGCTCTGTTAATGAGGCATTGCTAGCTCTTGCACATACCCTGTGGCAAACACCAGCTCCAGTTCTACCCACCTGTAAAAAGTCAGGCAAGAAGTACTACATCCCACTAAAAAGAATGTAAGATTTCTTTTCCCACCCCAGCCCTAATTCCCTAGTGATGAAGGTAGCCAACAAAAGAAGCCATCAGGCTCAATCTAGACCTCCAATGAACAAGGAATCCAAGTGGCTGGATTTACTGGGCAGAACAAGCTACTTGTCAGCTGTTCTTCAATTTTGTATTGCCAACTATAAGGCCTTGATGGCAAAATACAACTTTACCACATACTCAAAATTTACACATTTTATCTACCACCTCCCACAAATCCAAAGAGAGCAATTTCAGTCCATCTTGGATGGGCAGTTAATCTCAAAAAGCTCCCTCCAAGCTGCCCTAGATGCCATCAACACAGCCTCCAGATACATGGCCGCAGCTGTGATCATGAGTGTGTCCTGGTTCAAGTTCTCTGGTCTTCCAATAGAGGTGCTTGACGGATCTAAGCTCTTCAGTGAGTATACGGACTCCTCTCTACACACACTCAAGGATTCCAGGGCAACATTGCAGTCATTGGGGATTTATATGCCTGCAACGAAAAGGCAGTTTAGTAGAACCCAAACTGCTCAAAGTTACAGGCCATTCCAGTACCATCATCACTTCTTCTCTAAGCTCCATGAATTATTCAAGAGAAGAGCCAAACAGGAAAAAAGGGGATCAACCACCCCCACTTCTACTCAATTGGCCCCTCCTTCTAAGGGCTTGTCTTCACTACTGCACTAAATTGGTGCTGCTGCCATCAATGCCCTTGTGTCTGTTTTCAGTTCCTCCCTAGAACATCTGGTTCGGTGATGGCCTTCACGCTTATCTTTTAACACACGTTTTTCATTCACACACAAAACACAATTGATTGACACAAAACATTTGAACAGGAACATCAAGTTGCAATGCAAAAGAAAAACAAACATTGCATTCTTTTACTTATTTTAAAATGCTAAACCTACAACAAAGTGGTGATCCTAAAAGGTCTGTTATTGCTTTGAAATCAGCCCAGACATAGATTCTGGCTGATGCATCTCTACCAATAGCACATTAGACCATTCCTTTCTGCTATTCAAAATGGGTGGCTAGCAGGATATGGTCAAATCATACATTAATACATGCTATATTATTATCTTATTATTCGTTATCCTTCATTCTAAATTATACAAAATACAAACATAAAATCCTACTACTACACATCCAACTATAAGAGAAGAGATTGAAACAGAAATCTTTTCTACTTCACTGTCCAACATACCAAGAAGAGTGAGAGACAGACTTGTTCAAATTACCAGAAAAGATTTTCTATCAAAAAGCAAGGAAGAAAAACTGTTCATCGCCCTGTGGGGGGAAAAAGAGAACACTGAGTCATTCTATATAGGAACCTGCCACCAAATTTGAAATATACAAAGGAACAAATAAACAATCCAGCACACTGTGAATCCATCTCCTGAGCAGGTGCTTGATGTAATAATTATATACCCAATTTATTGGGGGGCAGGGAATCATGTTTGTCATAGCTTGCACTGGGAGAATATGGTTCTTTGTTTTTTTTCTAATGCCTGGTCATCAAATGAGCTTAATGAATCTGCCACAGCTGCTAGCTGCAGGAGTTAGACACTCATCCTGCAGCTACTTAGATTCAGAAGTAACTATATATATGAATTAGAAGCCAGTTTATTGGACTGGGACTCAGGAGACTTGGATTCTAGTCCTGGCTCTGCTGGACTGCTAGGTGACCTTGGGTAAGTCACTTTACCTCTCCCTGTCTGTTTCCCTATTTGTAAACTCAGGGTAATGATACCTATCTCTTTTGTAATGTGTTTTGTGATTTATTGATGAAAAGCACAATGTAAGAGATGGGCACTATTATTTAATGTTTGCCAGTCCCATTGACTTCTAGGTAGAACTATGTTTGCATGTAAATGTAAGTGCATAAGCGTTTACTGGAGCAGGCCCTTCATTCAAAGGGTAGCAGCATGTGCTTTAAAATTCCACAGTCAGACCAATGGGGTGGTTTATTCTAATATGCCCTTATATAACCAATACAGGGACAGTCTCCAGCTTGCTTTCTCTCTCCATATGTTGTTTCCTCATTTGTCCTCCCCGCTGCTTGTATGGCTTTAGTGTGTTCGGCTCCTTGCAGCAGGGGTCATTTCTTCTTTTCTGTTTTGGTAGTACCTAATACTTATTTGTATTGTAGTGCCTCGAAGTCCAAGTCATGGATCAGGACCCCACTTGGCTAGGCGCTGTACAAACACAGAACAAAAAGATGGTCCCTGCACCCAAAGAACTTACAATCTAAGTATAAGGCAAGAGACAACAGATGGATACAGACAGAGAAGTACAAGGAAACATTGAGACAACATTGATCAGTACAATGGGCAGTGGTCACAGCACACCAGCAGCCTAACCATTGTCAATTTTTTTGTAGGCATCACAGTGAAGGAGAGGTGAAATTTGAAGGAGAACAATGAAGTGGCTTGGCAAATGTTTGCAGGATGTACCTCCCAAAAGTGAGGCAGCATAGGAGAAAGCATGAAGGTGCTTCTCTGAAAACTTAAGTGCACAAGCTGATACGATGGGCCAAGTGAAGGTGGGAGTTGACTTTTGTTTACTGAATGAGAGGTGGGCTTTGAAAGTGAAAACATGTTGGAGCTTACATATTTGATATGACAGATGAGGGAGCCAATGGAGGGATGCAAAAGGGGAAACATGGTCCAAGTGACGGGCTAGGAAAATGATTTTTGCAGCAGCATGCAAATGTATGTGAATGGGATAAGACTGCATTTGTCAAAGCCAGAGAAAAAGATGTAGTAACTGAGATGTGAGATGATGAGAACCTGGATGAGAGTTTCTGGTGTGGGTGGATAGGAAAGGCCATATCCTAGAGATGTTATAGAGCAGGGGTCTCAAATTCAATTTACCTTAGGGCCTGTGCCAGTCCTCAAATCCTCCCAGTGAGCCAATAATGTCACTGAAGATGGTGTTCAGAAAAGAAAACATTTATATTGTATTTTTTTTTCAAATTACTTAGAAATAATAAAACTGTCATACAAATTTATACAATTCTTCGCCTGCCAGAGCCAGACACCTGGCAACGCTTCAGTTCTGTCAGTTTGCTGATGTTTGGCCTCAGTAACTGCTGCAATCCTGAACATTTCAACTGCTCAAGGTGTGCATCAGATAGTTGTGTTGGGTATTTTGACTTGTTTATAGTCATTGTGGAAAAAAGTGATGCTGCCTCCATAGCTGACTCTGCCTGGCGACTAGTGATGATATCTCTGTCCTTCTCCCTCGGCCAATGGGAGCTGTGGGGGGGCAGCACCTGCAGCAGACATTGCCGGCAGCGTGTCTGCCTATGTCTCTCCTCCTCCAGCCGCAATGGGGAGGTTCTCAGGCTGCAGATGGCCTGCGGGCCAGGACTTTCAGACCCCTGTTATAGAGAGAGAATTTGCAGAACTTTGCTATAGCCTGGTTGTGAGAATCTAGAGAGAGGTCTGAGTCCAAGATGATACCCAGGTTATTGACTTAAGCGACAGCCAAGATACTATAGTGATCAAGCTTGGGTTGGGGAGTGGATTAAAGAGTTCTGTTTTAGCTTTGTAAAGCTTGAGCTGAGGGGTAGATGTCAGGAGGAAGGTATCAAACAGCCTGGCTGAGATTTGTTTGGATGGAGCCAGGTTGGAGTAGAGATCTGATTCACCCACCTAGAGATGGTAGTTGAATTTGTGTTTGTGGATGAGTTTACCCACAGGTAAGGTAGGGGTGGGGAGGATCAGGAGGACCAAGGACAGAGCCCTGTAAATCCTCCCTGAAAGTGGAGGGGGATAATGAGGATTACCCTTAAGGAGTGAGTAGAGAGGTAGGAGACTGAGGAGAAGAGGGAGTCACAGAGGGATATGGGGCTGGACTCTGCCCAGGGAAGGATCTTGAATTACCCTGGGTACTCTTGGGGGGTTGTGGAAGCTCCTCCTGCATGGCATAGGGCCTATTGGCAAGAGCAGAGGGCTGCCCTGGATTGCAGCCACGCTCCTGTACAAGCTGCAAGGAAAGTTACCAATGACTCATGTCAGGGTTCCCTCCCCACTCTGAACTCTGGGGTACAGATGTGAGGACCCACATGAAAAACTCCCTAATCTGATATTCTACCAGTTTAGGTTAAAAACTTCCCCTAGGCACAAATTCCTTTCCTTGTCCTTGGACGGTATTGCTACCACCATCAAGTGATTTACACAAAAATTCAGGAAAGGGTCACTTGGAGTCCGTATTCCCCCAAAATATCCCCCCCTAAGCCCCTTTACCCCCTTTCCCGGCTTGAGACTAATATACCAACTAACTGGTTAACAATGAGAGCACAGACCAAACCCTTTATCTTTAGGACACAAAAATCAATTAGGTTCTTAAAAGAAGAGCTTTATTATAAAGAAAAAAGTAAAAATCACACTTGCAAAATCAGGAAGGAAGGTAACTTTACAGGGTAATAAAATGATTTAAAACACAGAGGACTCCCCTCTGGACTTAGCTTCACAGTTACAAAAAACAGGAATAAAACTACCTCTTAGCATAGGGAAAATTCACAAGCTAAAACAAAAGATAATCTCACGCACTTCCTTGCCCGTACTTACAATTTTTGTAATCTTAGCTGCATCATTTCAGGTATGTTTTCAGGCGATGTTTTGGTCTCTCTCTCCAGCGGGAGAGGGAACAACAAAGGAGTGCCACAAACACCCCCCCACACCACCCCCAGATTTGAAAGTATCTTTCCTTACTGGCCCTTCTGGTCAGGTGCCAACTAGGTTATTTGAGCTTCTT